GAGAACAAAACACTAACATAATCGGTAGATTTAAATTCACAATATTGTAAATAAGAAACAGATCCCCCCTCCAATGTGAAGTGTGTTTTTTTTCCTATATGTGTTCCCTCTCCCCTTAAACTTTGAAGGGAGTTCCCTTTAACAAGGATTACTTTTGTTATGCATAAATCTAGCATTAACTGAATAATCTTTACAATAACAGGTGCAAAAGCAAGGGTGGTGAAACGTTCTTAGTCGGAAAAAAAAAAAAAAAAAAAAAATAGATCTCACCCCATAATTTTGGTGTGAGCATGCATTAATAGGTGACGAGATAACAGATTTTGATTATTTGAGCAGTTGTTAGAGAGACCGCTATCTTTGATCATGTTAGATACTTTTTTTTCTCCCCTAAGGAGATTTAGGTATAAAGCATATCAAACATAACTCCCTACGAACAACTAAAATAAAAATCTGCCATCCCATCACCAATCAATGCTACTTCACATTCAATAATGATTGTATGCATATAATATATGTGTATATATTACACAAACACACAATTTGTCTCCTTGCTGCAAGTTGATCTAATAACACAACTAGGTTTTACATGTTAATCTTTGTTGAATTATTTGTTGTTGAATTTTGTATGACATACCATGTGAGGATCGAGCCATGTCAACCATAACTCAATGCACTTAAAATAGTCATGGGTTCAATATATTGAAAGTACAGTTCATATAGAAAAAGAAAGACTATATATATATATATATATATATATATATATATATATATATATATATATATATATATACACACACACACACACACACACACAGACAGAGGTGCGATGGGTAAATTGTCGCTATTCTATATTTTTAATTTCACATGTGTGTTATTTGTTTTTGTACACTACACAGTATAAGAGGGTCATTTGGTACCATCTATGAGAAAAAGCACAATGACACAATTTACTCCACCAGAAATTTGGAAACTTAGCATTCAAACATTTTTTTTCAGACTGTTTGGGTGTCAATCTGAGGACACTGCAGAGGATTCAGAAAGAGTTGGAGGAGTCTAATGCTGGTTATGGAGGTACAGCAACTCTGGAAACTCACTGTTCTATCTGATAAGAAAAGAACTCCCGAATTTGTTGCTTGAGGAAGTGTTGCCTGGGTCAAGAGGGTGGCTGCTGGAAAATCGTATGCTTGGCAACAGGACTCTGGACTATGATACGCAAGCAGGGGAACCCAGTCATGCCTGTCAGACAATATCTGTGCCCACATTACCCCTTACATCTGGCCACCTAACTCCCCAGACTTATTGTGTGGGGGTGCAATTGAGTGAGACACCAACAACAAAACTCCTTATAACACCAAAGATGAACTGAAGGCAAGGATTATGGCATCATTCAACAACTTAAATAATGAGACTGTCCAGAAGAGTTGCAGATTTTGAAATCACCTGGAGGCCATGGTTGAAGCCAATGACAATTTTATTGAATAAATTTACTCTTTAGTATTGAAAGATATTTGTGTAATTTTGGTAAATATATCTGTTAAAATGAGATGTCAGTGTTATTTTCATTTCTGCATAATTTAGACGACAATTTATCCATTGCACTCTCTCTCTCTCCCTATATATATATACACACACACACACATATACATACACACACACACACACACACACACGTGTGTGCTTGTGTGTGTGTAATAAATTCTGGTATCTAATCCCAACAGAGTTATAAGTTATTGTGGAAAAACGTTCATGAAAGTATGTTTTGAAAACACTATCCAATAATGCATTTTGGCTCTATGGCTTTATCAGATGGTTAGCAAAAAATGTGTTATGTGTGTTTAAAAATAATTACATCTTAAAGGCAGAGAATATAAAATGTTAAACACTTTTTTTTTTTTTTTTCTTTTAAAAAAAGTAACTCATTTTCTTTCCCTTTTTTAGTTTCAAGCAACATCAGCTTGGGAAATACACACACACACACACACACACACACACACACACTTAAGAGTTAATTGCCATAAAGATTTTAAATTTTACCGTTCCCATTTGTTGTGTTAAACAAAACCCAATGAGAGCTGTGTGTGAGTGTGTGAGATATTACAATCATATTAGTCATTTCAGCTTTGGGAAAATATGTTCGGTAAATCAAATACTATTGATATTCTATGCATAAACATTCAAAAATGTTTCATAGATTGGCAAGTACGAATTCAAACAGTATGAAGGATATTTGGAATTTATCAATGAGAAATGTTTGTCAGAGACATTTTGATATTGATCAAATCATTAAAACAAATTAGCCCTATTAAATTCATAAATGTCTAAGAACCCTAATAATTATAGAGACAATAAACCATCCGATAGCTTCAAATTTTCTATAAAAAATAATTGTACATGCATTTTAAAAGAGTTTATATTTAAAAATGTAAAAGTTAAAGATATTTCTTCTAAATTTCAGGCTATTTTACAGACCACCCCCATCCAATACAAAAAAAAAAAAAAAAAATGTAATAAAAGTGAATATTTGTAGCCCTCTTCAATTTAAACAGTATTATTGTAAAGTATTCTAATAATATTAATTGATCTTGAACTTTATTTTTTCATATAAACCAGAAAATAGAAATTGTATTAAGAAGCTCTAACAAATCTAAATTAAACAAATTTCTATCTGCGATATCTTTCATGTCATATTGCAAAAAATATCTAACACAATTTCAAAAAGCTTTTATAATCTTCAGTTTTATTTGAAATTACTGAATAATGAATATTTACATATATCACAAGAAAAACAATGGTAAAATAACTAAAAATTTAAATTTTTATATTCCTTATTAGCCATATTAAGATTTTTTGTTTATAAGGAATCCATACAGAAACCATTCATTTCCTATCAATTTCATAAGTACCTATTTTAAATATATTATTGACCGTCTAATGTTTTATAGAATAAGCAGTGTTCATTTTAGCAATTATATTTTAAAAATGTCTTTTTGAATGAAAATAACTGACATAAGAATTTCATGCAATGAGCAAGAAAACAGCTTTTTTTGTTTTTAATTTTCCCTCAATCATATCCTCCAGTTTTGTGTCCTCTTGGACTAATTATGAACAATGGGAATCTGTTATACAAATACAAGTTGAATAGTTATTAAATATTAAAAAGAAAAGAAAAAAGTTAATTTATTTTTACTTTACAGATTTTCCATTTTATCCCCTTTGATCAAAGTTTCTGTTAAAAATAGGTGGAAATGTCAAATATATTATTAGTATGCTTGACATTTCATGACTGAAGTTTGTAAACAAAGTGACAAAAGAAAGATATTCCTAGATTCAGTCAAATTAAGAAATATATTCTGTCATACACCTAAATAAGATAAAATGCTAATTTATTTATTATGACACTGGCTTATCTATGGTGTGAAAAAAAAAAAAAAAAAAAAGAAAAGAAAAGAAGAAAAGAAAAGGCAATCTAGGTAATTTTGCAACATGGTCCACAGGTCTAGCCAGTACGGCCTGTGAGGGATTTTCCAAATAAAATTCAGTGACAGATCATATACAAAAATTCAGCTTTGTGGAAGCATGATTTTATTCAGCCAATATTTATTTTTCATTAGACATACAGTCTTCAGGATGCATTTGTGCCACTTTTTTAAAGATTTACTAAAAATTTACTCTTGCTGTCTGCAGTTAATTTTCTGCAAGAATGTAGCCCCCCTTCATTTGTTTTTTTTTTTTGTGCAGTCCTGCGCTACATTTTGTTGATGCTCAATACTCTATAAATATCAGGATGTAAAATTAAGGTAACAATTGGCCCATTACCTTGTTTCTTTGCTATAAATGAACATATTTACAATACATTAAGCTAATTTTTAATATATATGCATATTTACAAGAGTTTTACTTTAAAAGTGATTTATCTACAGCTAAATCAAAATTTAAGATTTTATTTCAAACATGATTTTTAGTATGCTTTATAGTAATAAAAACACATTGGCATTCAGTATGTTCAATTTTAAGCTTTAAAATAAAAATAAAAGAATTTTATTTTAACATCACCAGAATTGTCCAATGCAGTAATGAGCGAATTAGTTATTAACAAAATTTTCTTATCCTATGTCATCAAAAGAATTCACTACTCTTCTGAGGATGTACTTATTTGGTATATATAAAATTACATAATTTAACATAAGTCAAGGCAAACAGAATTTTTATCAATGAACTGCTCAATAGCAATTTACAACAATAATTGTTCTGTCCAAATATTATGATACTTATCAAAGATTGACTCAGAGATTCATGATGCTTTGCTCTTTAGGACCCAGATAAGAATACTTGTATTTATTATTACAGAACATATATTTTATCAAAGTTGATCTTTGCCAAATTTAAATTTGGATGACTTATAATTTGCTGACAATATGCAGTCATAATAAAGCTCATTAAATTATTTAAGAATATAAAATTAATGAACAACCTAATAATTCATTCCCAGATTAAAGTATATATTAACATACAGAAAATGCCTTTATTTATTCTGGTTATAAAGCTATATCAATAAATATACTTTAAAAGAAAATTTTTCACTTTAAAACGTTTTTAACTGCATTGATTTAAAACAAATTTTATTAATAATGTTTAACAGAAAAAATAAAACAATGAATAGACAGAATAAGGCTATTGAAAATAATCTATATGTTCCATTACAATGATCAAGATAAGTTAATGGAATGAGGAAGAAATGTGTGAAGTGGGCATATGGTAACAGCAGTTGCTAGTAATAAGATAGAGATTATATAAAATGAAGCACCAGCTGCTGTGCATAGCTATGAAGAACATGCAGAGACAAAATGATCAAATCCTTATTCTATAAAAACAATAAAAAACAAAAAAAAAAAAAAAAAACTTTTTTTGCAAACATTTTTACAAGTATTACTAAGATTCAAAATTTGGCATATATTTTAAGCAAAAATAATATAAATATCAAGATTATAGAGCATACTTACAATTCTGGCAACAAACAAAGTTTTATAAGGATCAGATGTATTGTCTGAATTATTGTGAGGATCCCCTGGAAAAATTAAATAGAAAGCAGATTAAAGTTTTCTATAATTGAAGTATCAGAATTATAAAAATAAAAGAAATTGTTTTCAATGTTTTATAAAGTTAAAACAATTTTAAAAACATCCTTAATTATTTTAAACATCCACTTTCACTCACCAAGGGAAACAATAAATATGCACAAATGATGCGCTAGTTGTCTCCCATGAATACCTACAAGAAATTCATTAAGAAATGGGATGCAAGTTCCTACTACAGAGAAATAAAAAAAAAATCCTGAAAACTAAAATACAAATAAGAGCCAGTTTCTTTATAAAAAAAAAAAAAAAAAAGTCAATAACGAAAGAGGAACGTATATAGCTGTCTAAATGTTGATCTAATAAAAGTTAAAACATTATAAAACAAGTTTTATAATCTAGCATAGCCCAATGTTTTTCAACCTTTTTTCTCTTACAGGACACTTGAACCTATAACTTCCGTGGCACATTTAAATTATGATTTTAAAAAAAGTGTATACTTTTTATGATTTATTTATTAACACAAAACAATTTATTATAATTTGTAATAAAAACATAATTCAAATTCCTTATTTTTCTGCTTATTATAATTTAACATTTAATGAGATATCAGAGTCTAAAGTTTTTTTTAAAGAATATCTTCTTTGCAAGGTCAAATTTTTGACAGTCTTGCTCTTAAATTTTCAAAGATTCTAGCCATGATCAATTTTTGCTTTAATATTTTTCTATCATAGAAAAGTTTGCACACTTTCAAAAATAAGGACCTTTAAAAATTTTTGCAACACACCTACAACCCTCCCACAGTACACCAGATTGAAAAACCACTGATCTAGCAACTTACAGTAATATGGTATTTAAGAAAATGACACACTATGTATCACCTTTGGAGACATTTCATATTCTTGAAATTGACATTAGTCTATCTAAAATTATGCAAATCACATAAACCACAGTAACTCAAATTTGCTTTGAACTATTTGTCAAAAAAGATTCAACTCAATTTTTTAGGTAGTTTTATTAAAGTTATTGGATTTATTATAAAAACTAATTCTGAAATTGTGCAAATTAAACTAATATCAATTTAAGTCCTCTGAAATCTAACAAAAACTATTTTTTTTATTCTTCCCCATAATATATATATATATATATCAAAACATGGGTAATGGAAATGATCTAACAAAATGCTAAAAAAAAAAAAAAAAAAAAAAAAAAAAAAAAAAAAAATAATAATAATAATGTTACTGAGTGAGGGAATTTTCACATTCAAAGGCGCATACCAGAGAACACTGAATGATAAAGAGAGCTACTGAAAATATAACCAAGTTTAGAACTAGCAAAAGAAAAGGCTTTAAGAACTTATCTCCTTAAGGAGAACATAAACTAAATCAATGTGTAGTTAAACAACTATCTTCAAACAGGCTGAAATTGAGGGAACCAAGGACAAATGGCATAGAATGCTTCACAAATTGGGATCTGTCAAGAAATCCCCTAGGCAAACTCATCTCAGCAAAGCAAATATTTTAAAGTATCAAAACTGGGCCAAGAAATACATAAAAGTCGACTTTACTAAAGTAATTTACACAGACGAATCTCAGGTGAAACTTGATAGACCAAAGGGTTGATTTTATCTGATGCAGATGTGACTGTGGCTAAAAAGCAGCAACAATATTAATAAGGCTTACTATATTAAGATGTAAACACTTCAAAGATTTATCATATATGTTTGTTGTTAATGTTGATTGATTTTATTAGCTTGTTATTGAAGTAAAGTGACATTCTGGTTTTACATTTTGTGGCAGAATTTTTCTTCAGTTTATTGAGTAAATAAATAAAAGAATCCTATTTTCCATTTTTGACATTAAATTTATTGAACATATTTACCATTTTACCACCATCTTTTGTTATTCTCGTTAAATATTTGAGTTTTCTTAGTAAAGAAAAACTGCTCTAACTACCATTTAGTCATACAATAATGACAATTTTGTAAAAAAACAAAAAAAAAAAAAAAAAAAAAAAAAAAAAAAAAAAAACAAAACAAAACAAAAAACAGAATAAATGCTAACCAAAAGATGTATTTTTAAGTGGTGAATATGGCAGATGAGTGGAAAATTTTCAGCCAAGTTGAAATAAATTTTGTCTGATAACCCAAGAAAGATCATATGGTTTTTGCATTATTCTGATAGATTATGTTCTTTAAATAATCCCAAATACTTTTTGATTGCTCGTTTAATTGGGAGAACTATTTGTTTGAATCAATCATTTCATTCCCCAGAAAGAGTTTACAGTAAAAGATTCCCTTTCAATCACAATATATACACAGCAACATGTCAGGACTGAGATCAGCCTTTAGTATAGTTGCTAGCCTCAGAATCTGTTATGTCCCATATTACTGTAAAGTATCTACTATTTATCAATCAATAATAATGATGATCAAATTTTTTAATCAATCATAAATTGACCCTTTCTGGAATCAACTTAAAAATGTTAATAAGTATAAACTTCAAAGAATAAAACACAAAATTCTATTAGTTTAGACTAAATTCAATTCAATTCATACAATTGAAGATTGAAACTGTAATACTTACATAAAGCTAGATCTTGTTCAAGTTTGTAGGCAATTTGTTCAGCTCGTTCCTTACGCTGTTAAAGAAAAAGAAAATACAATTAAATTCTAAATTCAAAACAAAAAATTGAATATTCCATTAACAATCACAAATTGCTTCATAAAAACAAAGCTGTTCATTCTTGCCTCAATAAAACTTTAAACAATTTTTAGCTACTTAAAAAAAACAAAACAGATCAATTATTCTAAAACTTTTGTAACTTTATGAAATACAAGGTATTTTAATCATGTATTTTTCATGCTACAAAGTTAGAAAAGTCTTACAGTTCTAACAAAACTAAATTTTACCAACTATGCCATTTAATTTATAACAATTAGGAATACAAAAAAGAAGTATTCTAATTTGCATCATATGGACAGCTTTACTAAAGTCTAACGTGTAAAATTGTTAATTATAGTAGAAATCAAAATAACTCTTTCATACAAGAAAGTACAAACTGTAAATTGCTTCCTGGAAATAATTGTTTTTGAATAATTAGATAATTGGAGAAGTTGCATCAGAAGTAAAATAAAGTTATCGACTCAAACAAGTTTCATTCTTTAAAAAAAAAAAAAAAAAAAAACCATAAACGGTAAGAAAAATTGCTCAAGTGCAGCTTGCAAACCGCTACATATGTAAGGAATTTTATCACCACTGGCTGCCCCTACATAGCTTTGTACCAAACTTAGTAAATACCAGTATATGAAGTAATAAATGCATTCAGGAGTTATTTCCCTTAAGTTATAAATATTTACTTTCTTTTACTCAAAAATGTCCATTGGAAATTTACAAATAAACTAAGTAAAATATTAAGTCCCTTTAACAGGAAGCAACACCAGTTTTCTTATTTCGTTTTATTTCTGAACATTTTTTTTTTTTTTAAAGAATTCAACAATTTATTTTTAATCCAATATTTTTATTCAAACATTATTTTTAGTGGATACTCGTATTTGAAACATACGCCGTTTTTTTTTTTATTTTAGATCATATACAATATGTCTATCAACCTGATAGACATAATATAGGAGCACATTTTCTTTACAGATAGACCTAATATACTGATTAAAATTAAAAAATGGGGCATCTATTTCAAACACATATCCGCAATAAAACACCACAAAGTAATGAAAATATTTTATAGCAAATACAATTTAGGTAGTAAGCAAGAAAATAAGTTTGTGAATTCTAGAGATATTTGAAATTTTAAAAGGTATTGAAATAAAGTTCTAAAATAGAATTTGCCAGATTTCTAAATATCAAGCAATTCATGCAAAAGATTCCTTTTAATTCTTTGTTTACAATTGTTTAAAACAGGTTTATATTCAGCAGTACAAAGATTGGCTTGCAGAAAGATCATATGGCATCAAAATATTTAGCATAGAAAAACGTAACCCAATGCTTATGGAAGAGGGGATTAGAGGGGGCAGATATTTGCTTATATTTCAAGACAAGAGAAAAATTGATATTCAAATTTATTTAGTCGTTATTGATAGAGCAATCGAAACAATCTGTTTATCTTTCAAGTTACCCACCACCAAGCATGAACAATTCATTTCTTGAAATCATTTCAACAGAAAACAAAAATTAAAATTTGATTTTAAAAAATAGATTGTTCTGATTTACTTAAAGTTTATAACAAGGCATTTTTTTATTATTAAATGATGAAGCATTGTCAACTATAACCTTTAATCTTGATTAGAATAACTTTCATCTTAACTTTTCAACTTTTCTGATCCTGCTGTTGTTGACAGTTGTGATAAAAAGCAACTAAAAAAAATTAAGATGAAAGTAAATACAAGACAAAATTTGTAGAGCATTTGTAATCATTTCTTCTCAGAAATGATTACAAATAGTTTGCTGATGCACACTTCAGTACAAATTGAGAACTTAAAAAAATATTTTGAAAACTATTTTCTACATCTTCAAACCAAATTAAGAGACTTATGAGGATTCATGTAGAACATTCTTTTTCTGTATTTCTTTAAGAAATATCTTTAAATTTTACAAGTTTAAATTATTTCTTCCATCTGGGAAAAATTCCATAGAAAGTCTTTGCATATTTAATCATATACAGTTTGAAACAGATTTAAACAACTTTAAATTTATAATCTTGCAAGGATAATAATAATAATAATAAAAAAAAAAAAAAAAAATTTCACATAAATTCAAAAATATTCTTAAAAATGTTATTTTTCTAACTATTTTTATAGACAATTATTTTAACCTTAGATTTTGCAATTCTCCACAGAAAAAGCTACTTGCAGCTAAATAGTAACATGTATATTCCAACCCTTACTAAAAGATTAATCTTTAATAATCGTTTGGTAAGGACTTTTTCATCTAAACAGAATCATTAACTGATCTACAGATATGTAGGATAAAATGTGACAGTATAATCGATGTGTTACAAATATTCATTTCTCAACATTTTGCTTAAATTGAACACTATAAATTGAACTTCTACTCTCCTCACGTTAATTTTTTTTACCTTTCTCTCTTTTCTTTCTTCTTTTGTTTCAATTCTTGTTGGTGGAGGAGTATCTTTTGGATTCTGTAAAGAGTAATAATTATCAATATAAAAAAAAACAAAACAACAACAACAAAAACTTTAGAACATTTTCAAATTAGAAATATCTCTTACATATGTAAGAAATCAGACAATCTAAAAATGTGACTAGTTACACAGAATTGTACATCATTTCGGGGCATAGAAGTAGGAAAAAATGCTAACCAAATTATGAAATTTAAATAATGAAAATATTTTTTGCATAAATCTTAAAATGCTGATGTTAATTTTACTTTATTACAATAAATAATTTAAAAAATCATTTATATATGAGAGAAACACTAATCACTTTGTGTTTTATTAGATATAAACAAAGTATACTAATGTAGTTGAAGGAAGAAACCTAGAAAAAAAAGAAAAACATTTTAAATAAATTTGCAATGTCTAATATATTATATAAACTTTTTCTTGTAGAAAACAAAAGAATGAGAAGGCAAAGTAAATTCCTAGAGAAACTGGAAACATTGAGAGAATGGCTCCTTGCAACATTAAGAAAATTTTCTTTTCCAAATTTAAATAGATATTTGAAGGAAAAAGTTGAAATATAAAAAGGTTGATGCAAATGTTTCCAGCAATTTTTGACAAAATCTTTTATTCAAATTATTATTTAGTCAAGGTATTTTCTCTGGTTTTCTATGTACTTACATTATTTTCCATTCTATCATAATGGGAAGATTTCTGTTTTAATTTAAGGAATATTTTCATATCCTGAGCTTCTCAGTAGAACTGCTGACTAGCCAAGGAACGTTGTATGCAATAAAATAAGTGATCACTTGAGAATCTGGAGAATATGCTACATAGTGGATTGACTTCTTATCTCAATGATCATTTTCTATTGCAAATTTGCAAGATGAGGATGAATATCGTCAGATAACAAAATCACCAACTGAATTCCTTTCACAAAAAAAAAACTTTTCTCTTCCAATTCATCAAATGAACCAAATTGCTCATTGTGACATTGTGCAATAACAGTTGGTCCAGGTTCCAGCAATTTGTAATGAAGAATTTCATTTGAATCTCATCAAAAACAAAGAATTTTTCTCCAAAATAGATTCCACTTAGGTCAAGTCATTAAAGACCATTTTCAATGTAGCCATAATTTTCTTCATTTTAGATTCTAAGGAATTTTTTTTCATTGCTAATATTTAAAAAATGATTTTTTGTGTCCCATGAAAGTGAAAAGTATTTAAATACCAATTTAAGTTCCTTTCAATAAATATCAAATAGAATCAATTTTCCTCAAACTTGTAAACAATGTACTACAGCTGACAGATTCACTCCAAATGTTTGTGCTGCCATTTTCTTCTAAAGTGCCTACAATATATTAGTCTTCAACTTCTAAGGTTTTCAGCATTCTTTCTTCATCACATCAGTCTTCTTTTTTTTTGAATTTCATAAACCATTCTCAATGTTTGTACCCATTGCACTTCCTCCCCCCCAAAAATAAGTTCTTAAAAATGTGTGTGTGTGTGTGTATATATATATATATATATATATATATATATATATATATATATATATATACACACACACACGCAGAAACACTGAGCAAATTTCAAAGATTTCTATAGCCTTGAGCTGAAATTGATGCAGGAAACTTTTGCATCAATCCTCTAAGAAAATTTTTTTTCTTTTGCAATAGTTACAATGCCATTGATTAGTGATACAGGTTCAGTTCTTTTTACTTTAACAGAAACAGGAAAAAATTTCTACAAAGAGTAAAGAGATAGCAAAGAGAAATTAAGATATTAGGAATATAGAAGGCATTTGTTTAATTGATATAAGGGCATTAAAAGGAGTAAAGCAACAGTAGAAAATATAAATTGCCCAATCAAAACATAATCCAGCATCTTATGGTACTATCAATATTCAAAAGAATGTGGCACTTAGATTATAAATGAAAAAATAATTTAAAAGAGGACTTTTTTTTTATATATAGACAAGGGTTTTCAAACTAATGGCTTTTTAATGAGCACATGATTGAAAACATAAGGATGTAAGTTCAAATCTTGATATAAGCTGGTTCTTTATTCCTGATCTATGATAATGGTCATCAGATAAAAGGTAAAAATAACCAGGATATTTTAGTAAAAAGCAACAAGATGAGGAGAAATACTAATAAAAAATTAATGACAATAATTCATCTGAGAAATTTGCAGAGTCAGCTTATTTTTTTAATATCTACTGACAGAATTTTCTCTCACTTCAGTAACAAAATCTCCAATAGTTATATTAAAGAGATTCAAAATTCAGAAAATTCAACTTTTATTAAATTTAGCAATATTTTATGGTCTATTTGCAAAGTATAGACAAAGTGAGAAACTAAGAATGTATGTGCAATTGACAATGGAAATTTACAGATTTATTTTAAAAGTTCTTTATATTTTTGCTACCAACAACCCCATCCTTTGATTAAAAAACATTTATACATTTTGATGCTATTCAATAAAATAGCTATTTATTATCATTGATGTAGATTTTAATTATAAAGTTTACTTGTATCATGATTAAAATAAGCAATAAATTTACACTTTTCCTCTTTGAAAACTTTTTTAAATCAGTTATAAAAACAGTAATGCATACTTTTAAAAGCAAAAATTATAAAATTTTATAGAAGTGGAGAGGGAAAAACTAAATCTTGTATTTTTAAAATATAATTTCAAGTCTGATCATAACAAAGAATGGTTTCAAAGTACAAAGTAAATCTTTTGTCTAAAAGTCAAGATAAAAAGTTTCAGTGATCTAATCCGTGGAAAGATGCTAACCTGAATTCAAATTGATCTGTACGATTACAAGAGTCAGTCAAAAGCCTTGCTAGGATACCTATGCCACTAGCATTCAGCTCAAATGAATGGCTCCATAACAACTACCACTACTAACACACCTGTAGCAGATGTACAACACATGTGACCAGTAGATGATAGCATTCTTATTAACACCTGGACTAGTGAAGCAGCAACCGTACAAACAGGTCTGTAGAAGTCCTATGTATTTTGTTGGTTTCTTTTTTAGAACTTTGGATGGAACAATTCTAGTAAACATGCATACTTATAGAATAACCAATGCTCGGTGTTATATTGAACAGGTGCGATTTTTCATCTAATCTTTGAAAAGTAACTGTGATGAAATAACTTTAATTTTTTTAAAACTAGAAACTGTAAATATATGTGTTTGCGTGTGACAAAGTAAATTTCAATATTAATTTAAAATCATTTGTAATAAGTATCACACACTATGTCACCTGTCCCTAAAATATAGTTTTTTCTTCTTTGTTTTTGCTTTGTGGTCTATTGCTTAGCACAAAGATTTGGATGCAGCCGAGTCACAGCGTCAAGAAAGACTACAAGCAGCACGACGGATCCGTCGGAGCAAGTCTTATCAGAGTCAAAAATCTTATTCTTCTGACTCTAAGGGAGAATCATCACCCAGCACATCATGTCTTCCAAGTTGTTTCAGTATGCCGAAATCAGATAAAGATTCCAGACACGACGATCAGTTCGTATCCAGTTTTTCTTTTCCCGATTCTAACCTTAGCGCCGAACTATCACCCAAAGACAGCGATAAACACAAAGAATGGGAAGAGGCGTTAAAGGGATATGCAGACGATTGTCCTGTCGATAATAAGGACGATGCCACAGCCCCACTGCTCAAACCCAAAGACTATAAAGAAAGGTAAGTCATGGCACTTTCTTTAAACAGAAAACTAGTTGTGATGTTTCGAGGTTAAATTGTCAGTGTTTTATTTACGATAGAGCTATTTAGAAAGTAAGGTCCAAAATTAATTATAAAGTTTACTTGTATTCTTATGATTAAAAGAAGCGGTAAATTTACACTTTTCTATTTTAATTTATCAGTCTTACTCATCTCATTCCATATGCCATAGAGTGCTGCTGCTGCTGCTACAGTTATCCCTACCGTTCATAGTTATTACCTTCTTTACCCTCAATCTGTCTCTAAAACACGTGTACACGCGCTTGTTCTACTTTCAAATGTGCACCACGTGTTAACAAGCCAAGAACATCTATTGTATTTCGAAACAATTATTGGATCGATATCGATAATCAAAGGCGATCATCATATAGTATCATTAATAAAATAATTTTAAGCAAAAGCTTCTGTTTGTAGAATAACAAGATGTTTTGGGCCTTTTCCCCTTCATAAACAAAATCAATTACACGTCAATGTTCTCTAACTCCAATAACTTTTAAGTTCAGAAAAAGAACTAAAAGTTCACGCACACCTAATCCAGACCAAAATGTTCAAATTATTCGATATTTCAATGTTAGAATAAATAACTCGTGATATTTGTCGGGCAGAATTATTATCACTTTTTCTTTAACTAAAAAAATTCTATATTCAAAGTATGCTCAAATTACAATTTGGATCGTTGGCTTCCGTAACGTTTTCAATAAAAACTAATAATAGTAGCGACATAACAAGAGGGTTCAGAGCTGATAGAAATGAATAGTAGTGTAATTCTAATCGTAGCGATAGAACTACTGCTAAACACATTCAATTAAATTTATGCATCATGGATTTGACTTTTTGTATCAAATAACTAGTGGGTTATTTCTTAACATTTAGAATCAACAGGCATGATGGAAGCAAGGAGAGTAATGACAAGTGTTTACTACAACATCTTACACTACAGTGCTATAATAGAAATAACACTCTAGCTAAAGATTATGATAGTGATCCACTGCAAAACAATAAGCTATGGTGAGCTTAAAGACGATGGCCACCACTACTAACAACAACAAATTGACTAGGAGGAAGTAGAGGACGAGAACGACGACGACACTACTACCGCAACCACAACTATCATTATTACTATTACCTCAACTACATCTATTACCACCACTACTGTTGTATTGGCTTATAGTAGTTGTGGACGTGCATCATAGTGACGATTGACAAACGCCAAGGAGAAAGGACAGACGTTACAAGGGCGGGGTTGGAGATCCAAAGAATACCAACACCAGGAAGTAATACAAAATATATACAAAAAAGATAACAGAATTAAACAGCTCCCAGTGACCAGAGGAATAAATCCATCCACTGCTACTAATGTGGTGTGGGTCAGGGAACCCGTATATTCCACACAACAATAGTAGTAGTGGATGTTGGGAAAGAATCAACTGTGATCACGAATTCAAAAATTCGTTAAAATGATAAATAGGTAACAAAACAATGGTTATTCACAAATATAGTCGTTACCCAAAGACGACGACTACGACACAAACACACACTCGTTGTCATCATTTCGTAAACACCGCCAGCGGCATTTTCTTTAAGCCTGGAGACAAAAATAATTTGACAACTTAAAATCGACTGCCAAATTTATGGTAGCTAAAGTTTTTTACCATACTATCTACATGCAAGCTGGATTTATTCACCAATCCATCCCTGGACTATCATTCTTGTACCAGAAATCAATCAAAATCTAAAAATGTCGTACTACAGGTGATGGTATTATTAGTAGTAGTCGTACTACTTGTTACTTTAGCGACCAGCATAACTTGGCTAAGTACAATAACAACTACTATTATTGCCAATATAACAACAGCTGTTGTTACCGTCTCAGATACGGTAACAATGGCGATCAAGACAACAATAAAGACCAACAAATCCCTGTTGTTGATGTGAAAATCGTCACAGCAGCTAAAATCAAAACAAGAATCCAGATACTCGGCAGCGACATTTCAAAGTCTACGAAAGCATGGCCACTCTGGTATCTGCCATATTGGAAACACTGTAAGTTTCACGAATGCTTTGATCTTTAAAATGCGTGTGTGCATTGTGCATGTTCTCTTCAGAGAATCAATTCCTAGTCACTGCAGTTCGTAATTAAACACTGGGAAATAATTTAATAATGTAAGTAGAAATGGACTAGCGCCAATCTACGAAAGCATGGAGACATTCATATTGTCCGCCATTTTGATAATCCGTATAAATGGAAAACGGTTTCAAATATTCCCTAAATTTTCGAGGTAAACATTTACACCCCATTTCAAGAATGCCAGTGAAACAAATTGGATTAATAGAAAAAATTAAATAAAATGTTTTTAAGATAAAGATTAAAACGGAAATAGATAAGTTATATGAGCAAAAAGAAGTAAGAGAATCATGCCGGGGCAGTAGGGAAAAAGCAAGAGTAACAGAGAAAAAGTTCATCATATTTACAAAAGAATCTTATAGAGATTTGTGTTTTGTTTTACCTCGAATTCCTTGAAGAACTGCGCAACTCCAGTGTAGGGCACTCTCTTCTTTTCATGACTGAGTTTGTCGACAGGCGGATAATAGGGAATAGGGTCTCGGGCGGCGAACAAAGCCAACAGATTCGGTGGCAAAAACTGTGTCATTTTTTTTTTTTTTTTTTTTTAAAACACGAGGGCCGTAATTTTTAGGTCGTTTTTTTTTTTTTCGTTTAAGCTTTCCCTATTTAGACTTTATCTGTTTTCATACATTCGGATAGATGTACTATTACACAAGTCTTTTTTCTGGATAAAAATGTATACGAAGTGACAGACACGCGCGATCGTATTTCTTTCCTTTTTTTTTCTTTGTATGTTCCTCGTTCGTTTCAGAAGGATATCACGATTAACACATACAGTACCGACCAAGCTCCAAATGAATTATAAAGTAAACTAAAATAATTAGTTTACTGTAACATTGACGAGATAGAGATGATTGTATACGTATTTCTGTATCGGGCAGCAAGGTTGAATCTACTTAGATACCTACCACCGACGTAGTAGTAGTGACAATAATGGCGTGTGGCACATGCTCACTTAGTACATCCTTTCTGGCTGCTGCTGCTACTTCCACTTTATTTCCCATGTGTCTATTATCGCTACCTATCGTTTCGTTGCCTCTCTGTTTCTTAACTGTCTCTCTATTTACCACTCTGTGTTCAAGTAAATGGCGAGCAAGAGCGAGTGAAAAAGAGCCGAATAGCCTCTTTAAAAATCACCATCATCAGCTTTCCTTTTTATTTCTCTTCCTTATCAGACACACGAACACAGATTGTTCAAGACGCAGCCCTATCTGCTTTTTTTACTATTTTCATGTCCACCTATGTCAGGCTGTCTCAATTACTGTACTGTTCATTTCTTTAACTACATTTTTACATAGTTCTTTCTCTCTCACACAATGTTTTTCTCACGCTCCATAAATGTGGCCTTGGACCGGACTAAACCAAATTCATTATGACTTTTAACTTCCGCCACAACTAATTATTGCTTCTTCTGTCAACCTTTGTTCTTCTGATTAGAAGTGTTTTGCTTTCATTTCTTTCACAGGCTCATAAATTCTTTTTTTTTTGTTGCTTTATGTCCTTTTTTAAACAATGAACAGACATTCTCTTTTTCTATGTTCCTTAAATTGTAGTTTTAATTGGCCACAAAATATCAGCATGTGAAATCAAAAATGTCAAGCATTTGCTATCGTCATCAGTAGTTGTGATGATGTATGCATTGCTGTGTCGACTTTTAAATTTTCTCATACATTGTCGTAGTACTCTCGAAACTATGATGATGTGTAGCGCTTAGCCAGTTTAAGTGCAGATTGATAGATGAGAAGCCACTTGTGATGAAAATAAACTCGGTTGAGTTCAACATAAGGCTACATTTATGGAGCACTAAAAAACCCTCCTGTCTTGTAACAGAGAAATGTGAAACACTACAGTAAATTTAGGGACAAGGTACTTTCTTTTTAACATTTGTTTATTGTTCCTATTATTTTGTTTTCCCGCCTTCAATATGAATAAAAATGTTTGTTGTATGATTGTTGAATGTGTTGAGTTTTTTTTTTTTTTTTTTTTTGTTATTACTAGTCGTAGAATTTTTATCTTCTCAGGAGCACCGGCGTTTTTCATTGCGATCATTTTTTGATTGCTATCATCAACAGTTTTCTTTGGCTGGTGTGTCAACATTTACTTTTTAATTCTGGTTATTTTTTAAATGATTTTCTTCTTTTTTTGTGTGCGTACTATACAAAGATTCGATTTAATGAATATATTCATTTTTTTTATTTAAATTGCCCCTTTTTTACCTAATCATGACAATAGGTACTGACCCTTGAACGCAACAAAACTAGTAACAGCAACAGTAATCATTGTGATTGTAATAGAGACGATAGTAAAAGTAGTAGCAGTAGTAAGAGCAGCAGCAGCAGCTGTGATAGTATCTCTCGTAGTTGTAATAACGCGGGTACGCATACATACATACACAAACTCATAAATAATTTCTACTACTGCATACTTGTTGGTTTCCTAGTGAGACTTTCTCTACACTTGGCTCGCATCAACTCTCATGTTTATCAGTTACACTCCCTTTTTACTTTTTTACTTTTTTTTAAGAAATCCCAACCGATACAAAGACATTCATTAGGCTTACTAATCTTTTTTATCTTAAAAAATTAATATTAAAGACAGTAAAGAAAGATACTGTATTATTCTACATTTTTCTTGGGTGGATGTGATTTTTAGCCTTTATGGGAAACTGACTTCATTGATGCAGCAACAGCAGCAACATAGCCCTACTTGACGGGGATGAGGTAAGGAAGAACAACCACAATAACCGAAGAAAAACCTTTCTTCACAATTAAGCATACACATATGTGTTGTTGAGTATATAGTAGGTTTGTGTGTGTGTGTGTGCATACACAGTCACACACACTTGTTGTCATTAGTGCACCGCTATTATTCTTCATAATTTTTTTTTAAATGAAACATTTAAGTATTTAAAAAACTGATTGTTGAAATTGATATTTTTTAAAAGTAGGATCAAATTCAAAATTATCATTTTAAAAGATTGAATGAAATTTTTAAAAGCGAAAATATTAAAAATTAAAACTAAATCTTTATTTTACGAATTATAAAATATTTTTCGTTTTCTGTACAATAATTAATATTTCATATCGTTTAAAAATAAAAATCGTTTTATTTTTTGTACCGTTAATTGAAAAATGTGATAGTGCATTTGTTTCAATCTGACATTCTTGCACATCCAATAAGGATTTTAAATGCAACGTTTACTTTAGAGGTTCATTGTTAAAATCTTTTGCATAAAAAAGTTATTTTACCAGACCTGCTTCAGCTTTAAAGTTTTTCTTTTTTAACAGATAAAATAAAAAAGTTTTTTATTTTGTTTTTTTTTTTGTTTGTTTGTTTTTTTTTAAAACAGCCACTAACTTATTGCGTTCTCTTTTATTTAAACTTTCTTTTTTAAAACTTTGAATTGAGGTAGATATTACAAATAACAAAATAAAAAAAAACTAAAGCTGGTGCAGATACTATGAATGAATCTCAGAAATTGATAAAGAAACGATACATCCATCATCATCCAGCCTATGTCATCGACGTCATAAAGTAATTTATCAATCTTTAAAAAGTAATTATTACTAGATGCGTCGTACAATAATCCCAATAAATTACTTTTTGTGCGAGGTAACAAAAACATTTGTCAAAAATCAAAATAAAATCTTCAGTTTTTTTTTATTTGTTTTATTATTGCTTGAGTTGAGAACAATACTTTTTTAGAATGTTAAAAAATCTATTGCCTTTTTTAGATTTTACATTAATTTTCAGTTTTTTTACGTTAACAAATAATCTCTGAAACTTTTGTTTAAATATAAAATTATTAATAAAATTTAGAGTGATTGACATTGTAAGCTTTGAGCTTGCTTTTTAGTTTTTAGCCACTAAAAATAAACCTTTATTCAATTGTTTTTTGTGGTTTTTTTTGTGTGTGTGTAATTTTAGTCGCGTTAAACCAAAAATGAGTAGTTGTTTCATGTGTGATACAATATTTGAATTAGATAACTTATAAATTTTAATGATAAAATTAAATTTGATGGAAAGCTGCAAAGCAAATCATTTTTAAAAAAATAATAAATGAATTAAAAATGTTTGGTTTAGATCTGATTTGATTTTATTGTGATTGTTTTTGGTGAGTATATAAAAAAGCAGACGACAATCCATTTCTCTTCCTTCCTTTTTCATATCATCATCATCATTCACATCTTTTTGTACAGCTCTTATCCGACTGAAATGGCATCATCTACGTCTTTTGTACATCGCATCCTCTTAGTATATTTGTTGTTGACCACTTTCTAAGACTCTGATGTGCACATATATTTTCTTTATCTCTATTTCTTTCTATATTTTATCTACTTTGTTGCCAACAAAAATAGTGAATTAGAAGAATTAAGAAAAGATATTTAAGACCCCCCCCCATGCACGTGTTTTTCCGTTGTAAAAATTCACACAATAAAATATTCTCTTTTGTTCAGTTCTGTTAACATATTATTCAAAATCTTGGCTTCTGGCATATATGGTATTTTTGCTTTAGATTATCCAATATCTAACCCTGCAAAATGCAGCAACCTTATATTTGGTAAATTCTAAAAAAGAGTAAAAAAAATAAAATAACCATTATTAACTTATTCACAATTACTTCTGGTACACACAAATAAAACAAAAAAAAAAAAATCCTATCATCGCAGATGACTCTCCATAGTTAATAAAAACGGCTGATGCTTGTGGTGAGGTGATCAGTCCTATCCAGTAATTTGTTACTGGGTTAAGGCTTCTTGTGGCTACACGTTCCTCTTTTTCTTTAACACTTATTCCAGAAGAAAGAGTGAAGTCTGTTTCTTTTCTGAGCACTTGCCACAGTTCACTTGTTTAGCAACCTCATCTCCGTGTCCAATGTAGAGATTATATTTGAATTTGCTGGTAGTGAGTTCGATCCTCCCTTGGTACACTACGATTGCTTGTGAGCATTCAGACTTATTTCGTGATTGATATAGTTGTGCCTACTTCTCACTGATGCCACTGGTCAGTAATTACTATCTGAGTCTCGGTATAAAAAAAAAAACAAAAAAAAAACAAGATTTCGAATACTGATTTTCAAGATTGGCAGGCCCTTCTTTCTTAAGAATAAGATCAACTAACATTAACACAATCTTCCTACATTGCATTTCCCAGACTCCATCTAACTTTGTGACGAACTGAGCTAAGCTTATCACTGCTTCATCACAGTACTTGTAAAATCCCGAATTCCAGAATTAATTTCTTTCTGTTTTTATATTGGAAACATTTTTAAAAGTATCTTGATTCTCCTCTTTTCCACCGAAACTCAACATATGAAATATTCTGATTTTTAAAGAAAAAAAAATTCCTGTCAGGGTTTTAAAAATATGAGAAAGAGAGAGAAAAAAATAGAGGGGGAGGAGGAGAAAAGAAAGAAATGTTGCACAACTGACTTTCCATTCGTTCAACAACTTGCTAGAGAAGAAGCTTTCGCTTTTTAGAACTTCACTTGATTCTTGTGTAATGTGTTGTTGGCTTGCTTGTTGG